TGTCAATGCCTGAAATCTCTCTCTCTTCCCCTCTACCAGTTTACAACCAGCATTCAAGGACTGCAGTTGAAAAGGCAAAAAAGTTGCCAATGCCCCACTCAGCAAAAATAAAGAGTGAAAGTTGATTAGGAAATTTCATTCTTGAGCCACAAAGACTCCTGGACATTACCAAAGAGGTGAGTGGGAGAAGGAAAGAAAGAATCCCCATAAAGACCCTCCAGAGAGCTCTCCTCTCCTTGAGTACAAAGTGTGTCAGCTCTGTTCCTGAACAGGGAGGCAAATCAGAAGAGCCAGGTAAAATTCAGCCTCTGGGAAACCTTCCTTTCTTTTTATCCATAATCATCCTTGTGTTATTTGGGCCCCAGATACCTCAGATTTCTAGCACAGAGATCCCAGGGGAAAATCAAAGCAGATATCTGGAGAAGGCCAGCAGCCCAAGGAGCCACCTGTTAGGGACCAAAGGCGATGACTCATGAGTTTGCACATCCACCCACGTGTGAAGAACCATGGAGAACAGTGAAAGAAAGAGGTCAGTCCAGCACAAAGGGCATGAGATCATACAGCCTCACTGGACATTCCTGATTCCCTGTTGCCCTTTCCTCCACGCTTTGAGGGTAATGAGAGAGATGCCAGAAGAGCCCAAAACAAATTTGTTTTTTCTTTCAGTTTAATTGACATAATTTATTAATTTATCAGGTCACTTCATCCCAAAGTAGGGTTTAACTAGCCAAAAACTGAAACACTAGCCAAAGTATGAAAATAATGAAATTAAATGAAAAATGAAAATAATAAAAGATAAAGAAGTAAAAACAAAACCAGACAAAATGAAGTCAGGGACTGATGCACAAATTGCTAACCAAAAAGGGCCTGCTCGGTTTTAGAATTGGATCTTGAATCTCTGAGCCTCTCAGTGGCCAAAATTCATCCCATTTTCATTTCAGAGTCACTAAGATCAATCACAAATGTTGGGTTTTTGTAAGAAATTAGTTGCTAAAAGAAATTCTCTGGAGATAACATGCCCAGAATATGCCAGAACAGTTTAGCATGACCTCCAGCCTGGCTAGATAGCCTCACCTCCTCCATCTATTTCTGCACAATTTCAGGAGTAGGGTTGGGTTAGGGGCCACATACATAGTCATGAACAAGTTTTCCCTTACCGGGTGCTGTCTGTGAGGGCATTTTCCTGTCTTGCCCACCCCCCTTCCCGGTGAAGTTTGTAGTGAGGGTTTCAAAGCAGCGGCTCGCCACCACCACCACCATCACCACCACCACCACCACCACCACCACCACCACCACCACCACCATCACCACCATCACCACCACCACCACCATCACCACCAGGGCCCACCCTTGCCCCTTATGCTCATCTCCACTGCCTCTAAATGTGTAGCAGCTACTCTGTGCCCTGTGAATTCCCTGAAGTACTGAAGCTAAGCCATCTTCTACATGGAAGGAAGGAGTCTTTTCACCTGGGTGTCATATTTGTCACGTGGCACCAGAGTGGAGTCAATGACTCTCCAAAGATTCTAGTGACAGTGGCCCTGTCAGCTGCTGCCCATGGCTCCTCTCCTGCTTGGGCTCACATGAACCTGTAATGCCAATCCAGAACCAGCCTTACAGGTACATGTGTTTTCTTACTCTTTCTTCCTGTGGCCCTCATCCTGTAGGTGGCATGATTATAGGGTATTTTCCAGCAACAAAAAAGTGAAAATCGAATGTGATTTCAGGAAGTATCATGTAATGGCAGACAGGATGAAAATCATCTGCACATAAAAAGAGATTAGATGCCCTGATACGAAAATTGATGTCTGTATGCATCCTTATTCTATCTGTAGTGTTTAGGCAAAATTGCTCAACTGGATCCTACTCTTGACCATTCTGATTCTCTTAACTAGTGGCTTTTCAACCAAAGCAGCTCTCAGCCTTGAGATGTGGGGGGACAGACCCACACTGAGAAGAGGGCAGGGTCACTGGGCACAGGCTCCTTCTAGGGTTCCTTTTTTTTTTAATTTTTATTTATGATAGTCACACACACACACAGAGAGAGAGAGAGAGAGAGAGAGAGAGAGAGAGAGAGAGGCAGAGACACAGGCAGAGGGAGAAGCAGGCAGAGGGAGAAGCAGGCTCCATGCACCGGGAGCCCGACATGGGATTCGATCCCGGGTCTCCAGGATCGTGCCCTGGGCCAAAGGCAGGCGCTAAACCGCTGCACCACCCAGGGATCCCTCCTTCTAGGGTTCCTGACAGGGACCAAGTGAGAGGTGTGTCAGAGGGCAATGAGGCCCCCAGCATGGGGCGTGGAAGTATAGTGAAGGCCACTACATCAAGAGGCGATTCCAGATTTGCCTACAAAGGAAGGGAAAAAACGATGCTAAAGACAGGGTAGCATTAGTACTGATGTCGGGAGAGCCAAGAGCTGTGGGAAGTGGCTGCCACCCCGGACTCAAGGGCGCAAATTGAACCCCACTCTCCTGCAGGCCTTCCCTGACCTCCCACTACATGTAGCACCAACCTCTAGGAGCAGCTGGGACAGGGCCTGACATTGGTGTCTGCTGCTAAGCAGAGGGGGCGCTAAGGGGAGGATCAAAAGGAGAGGTGGGGTCGAAACTGGGATAAGGGATGCCTCCCGTGAATAATTCTGACTGTGGGCACTGGTTCCATTCAGAAGGCTCCCCAAGCAGCCGGGGAACTGCAGCCCTCTGGACAATAATGCTCTTAGGAGGGAGGATGTGTCTGGGGGACTAAGTCTATAGGAGTCTGAAAGTGCATGCCTCGCTGGAGGTGTGTGAAGGAGGCTTGTCCGTGGGCCAGAGTGTTTATACACTGTGCATGCCCAATGGGTGGGCCCTGTAGGGAGACCTGAGTGGGGGGGATTTGGAGGAGTCCAAGAGCCACTCAGGTGGGGCCGGCACGCGGTAGACCGGGCTGCTAAGAGGGGAGCCCAGGGCAGGAGCCAGACCTGGAAGTCCTGGGCTCGCACACAGCCAAAAAAAATGCAAATGGAACAGTGAGGGGAGCCAGCGCACCAGCAAGCCTGGGGAATGCAGCCTCGACCACAAAGCTTCCATACCCTCCTCCCCAAAGGGTGTTCCCCTTCCCCACAAAGTGACTAAACATAAGCTCCTATTTGCAGCCTGGAGGCAGAGAGCTATCCCTCACTGGGGGCCCCAGAGCAGGATGAGGCAGGGAGGACTCAGGGCCCTCAGAGGTCAGTCAGAACCCAAGCTACGTTATACAACTTCTCGAAGGAGGCTATGGGGTACAGTGAGGCTGAGGCTGCCATGACTGGGAAATCACTGCCAGTGCCAAGGCCTACAAGAAAGTGGGTACCTAATGGCAGCCTCAGCCCCTGGTCCCTGCCCTCACCCTCTGGTCTACTGCCTCCTGAGAAGTACATGGAGAGTCCCCTCGGTGTCTTCAAGTTACCTCCGAGGAGCGGATGCCCTTCTTGGGAGAGGCTACAGAAGTCAAGTAAGGGGTGCAGCTCACGTGCAGCACCCTTCCAGCGTCGCATTCGCTGCCTCGGTTTCCCATCACCAGAGTCTGACCTGTGGGCACACAGGCTGAGGCCCAGGCTGCAGAATCTGCTTCAAGGGCAGCCTCACGTTAACAAAGCTCAGGATGTGCAGACCCAAACGTCTGTTTATTGGAGCAGCAAAGCCCTGCTGGAGGAGGTCTGGGTGCCCCAGCAAAGCAATGGGGCAGGACCCAAACACAGAAGCCACCTGAATGAGAACTTCCTCCAAAGGAAGGGTCGAGTATGCAGAGGAGGGTCCACCTGGGCCCTGTCTTCCCTCCTGGCCAATGCTGCCTGTGCTCTCAGGCTGAACCTGCCGTTACAAGTTGGGACAAAGGATCAAGGGGGTAATGGACATCATTCACTGGGAGCGTGAGACACTAGCACACCTCCAAGAGCAGGGGTGCTGGGGACACCTAAAGGGGAAGAGGGCTCAGCTGGCTTCCACTGTGAAGGTTCCTAAATGCTTCCTAAATGTTGACCCTCCTACACAGGCCAAATTGGACTGGCTCACACAGGATGGCTTGCTAATTTGCGGTACCTTGGTCTTCAGAGTTTCTCCTTAGGAGGGTTTAAAAATATCGACCAGAGGATTTTTCCTTGAAATTCTGACATCTCTGCATGTGACAAGCCAGGGACAAGCAGGCTCAGGATAAAATTGTGCCACACATCTGGGACGCAGGACAGTGTTCAAAGTCCTCTCAGCAGGCACACACCACCTCCCCCCCTGCTTCCCCCCTGCTCAGCTGTGGCATGGCCATCAGGAATAAGGCTTCCACCAAGGGGAAAGGGGTGGGGGATGCAAAAATGCAGGCCTGGGTTCCATGAGGCCTAATACTCCATTTAGACACATCTAACTCGAGGACTGACTCCTTGAGAAAGGGGACATTCTTAAACCCCATTTCCTGTGTAGAAGTGGTATCCCATGGGAAGAGGTATGCTGTGGCTGCATGTCCTCCCCAGTCTCAAACCCCCTGCCCCCCACTATATCTCTCACACATACTGTTGCAGAGAAGGAAGTCCACACCAAGTACTTTAATACTAGCTCAGCCTTGCTCTAAGCACTGGCAGTTCTGACCAACCCAGACCTTTTCCTCTTTAGGGATTCTCAGTTTCTGTATTTGCTAAAAGGAGAATTCATAAGGGAATTTTAGTAGGAGATATGGTCCACAAAGTGCTTTGAGATCCTTGCACCTGAGTTACCTGCTCTACTGTGGAAGGGGATTCAGTACAACAGTTAGGAACACCTCAGGCTCCAGAGACAGATCTCGTTAAAGCCTGCCTCTGCCTCTGCCACCTGCAGACATGCCACCCAAACATGTCACTTAGCCTCAGTTTTCTCCTCTGGGAAATGGATAGATTAGGACCTTCTGGCTGCCATGGGGAATAAGAGGATGTTTACAAAGTGCTTAACACAGAGCCTGCCAAAGAGCAAATGCTCGATAAATAATGGCTATTTTTGCTATTATTAATTATTTATTAGTTCTTTTTTTAAGATTTTATTTATTTACTCATGAAAACACACAGAGAGAGAGAGAGAGAGAGAGGCAGAGACACAGGCAGAGGGAGAAGCAGGCTCCATGCAGGGAGCCCCACGTGGGACTCGATCCCGGGTCTCCAGGATCATGCTCTGGGCTGAAGGTGGTGCTAAACCGCTGAGCCACCCGGGCTGCCCTAATAATTATTTTGTAATGACATCGCTAATGTTCCTCCTCTTTGCTAAGGTCATGGTGGTCTGCTTCCGGCCACTGATTCCCAATTATGCCCTCTCTAACCAGTCTCAAAATTCTTCAGTATGGATACACCCCACCCACCATGTATGATAATTTGCTGATATGTGCCAACGGACCATGTATACCTATGGACAGTGTAAAGGCCCTGTGAGGTCTGGAATCACTGCTCAGGACCACTGATTTACCCCTAAACCACCTATGTTATCAGTCTGGCTCAAACAGATAAAGTCCTCACATGGCAGCAAATGTAAAGAGAGCCCAAGGACCGGGATTTTTATAGGAGAAAAACAAATTACATTTAAGAAAAGTGCCTTCAAACCATAACTATAAGGGACCCTTAACCATAGGAAACAAACTAAGGGTTTCTGGAGGGGTGGGGGGGGGATGGGGTAACTGGGTGATGGGCATTAAGGGGGGAATGTGATGTAATGAGCACTAGGTGTTATCTACAACTGATGAATCACTAAATTCCACCCCTGAAGCAAATAATATGGTATATGTTAACTAAACTGAATTTAAATTAAAAATAAAAAAAATTAAATTAAAAAAAAAAAAAGAAAGAAAAGTGCCTTCAAATCTGGCTCCTTAGCATTTGTAATTCACTTCCAATTAATCTGGATTATACCAAGCTAACTTCCCTGGGTACATACCAAGCCTAAACATTGGGTAAGCTTCTAGCACACATCTTATGATCTCAGGAGATTTAAATATACATTTATCTCTTTTGCTGGGGGAAGGGTGTCTCCTACGCTGCTTTCCCCCCTGCATGCGTTCTCCGGTGGGCGCTGAAGTGGGAACTATTGTTGAAGTCTCTCCCACACTCCATGCACTTGTAGGGTTTCTCCCCAGTGTGGATTCTCTGGTGAATAATAAGACTAGAGCTCTGGTTAAAACATTTCCCACATTCTCTGCACTTATAAGGCTTCTCTCCCGTATGAATCCGCTGGTGAGTAATGAGGTTGGAACGATCACGAAAGAACTTTCCACACTCAAGGCATTTGTAGGGCTTCTCTCCTGTGTGCACTCTCTGGTGTGTGATGAGCTTAGAGCGCTCACTGAAGCACTTCCCACAGTCCACACACTTGTACGGTTTCTCCCCCGTGTGGGTTCGTTGGTGGTTAGCCAGTGTGGAGCTCTTACTGAAGCTTTTCCCACATTCAGCACATTCGTATGGTTTCTCTCCCGTATGGATTCTTTGGTGACTAATGAGGGCAGAGCTCTTAGAAAAGGTCCTTCCACATTCAGAACACTGATAAAGCTTTTCCCCTGAGTTGGTACTGTGTGGGCCAGAATTCAAGTTCTTACTAGCACTATGAAGTTGTTCAAGAGATGGCTCTTCTGTAGAGTTCCTCCAGTGAGCACTAAAGGATGGGCTTGGACCAAAGTTTGCCCCAGGCTCACTACAATGGTCAGGATTGCCTCCCAAGTGGACTCTCTGATGTTTCAGTAAGTTTGAGCTCTGGTTGAAACTTTTCCAACATTCCCCACATTTGTAGGGTTTTTCCCCTGTGTGGATTCTCTGGTGGGTGACAAGATTGGAGTGATCACTAAAGCTTTTCCCACATTCAAGGCATTTGTAGGGCTTCTCTCCAGTGTGGATTCTCTGATGGGTATTAAGATTGGAGCGGTCACTAAAGCTTTTTCCACATTCGAGGCATTTGTAGGGCTTCTCACCTGTGTGAATCCGCTGGTGGGCGATGAAGTGGGAGCTCCTACTGAAGCTTTTCACACATGTATCACACTTGTAGGGTTTCTCTGCCAAGTACAGGCCCTGATGGTCGATAAGTTTTTCTAAGTCCTCTTCAGAAGAACATTCTTCCCACTGCTCCTGGGGGCAGTTTCCCCACTGCCCTTCACCTTCACCATCACTGTCTTGCCCCCAGTCATAAGGGTGGCAAACATCCTCTCTAGTACATTTTGATAAGGCTCCAGGCAAATCCTCAAAGATGTCCTGCTCTGAAATCTGGTCTTCACCCTTATGCCTCATCTCAAACCCTGAAATAGAAATGCAGTTTTTCTTCATTCATTAGTTAACATCTATTTTACAGAACTTGTGTCTTGTGAATTTAACTAATGTGAATTTGTATCATATATTTTCTATTCATATCTTATAATGTGACTAACATGAAATTGGTCAAGTTTTGGTGCATATGTAAATTTCTGAGCTGCAAAGCAGAGAACAGAGCCTGGAACATGGTGACCTCACCAACAGAGTCATGAAGCCGAGGCCACGTGGCCAGCTAGTCAGTCTCTTTGGTCACTTTCCCTATTGCCCTACTCAATAATGAATACCTCCTTCTTCTGGCACATTCCAAATAGCCTGTGCTGTGTGAAACTGAATAAACTCTACAAATTCCCAGATAAAACCCAGTAAAACTGAGACTTGGCTGCTTATCTCATTTGGGGGATTACACAAAGCTAGAGACTGAATCATCTGAGCAAATCACCAATGCTTTTCCTATTCATGTCCCTTCTCTCTTGCAGCTCAGAGACAAACAATAAGTAGGCCCCTTGCTCTCTCTGCATGCTCCTGGATTTTGTGGGCATCGAATTACTCTGGGCTTACCAGTGTCTGGGGTTTGAGGACATGGGGCTGGAGATTTGATGGCATCTTCATCTGCCATCTCATCCCAAGCCTGCTGGTCATCAGCCTCAGTACTGCTCTGCCCAGGCCTTGGAAGACCTGCTGCCTCCCTGAGGGTTCCCATGGCTCTGACCGCAGTCCGTGCTCTCATCAGTGAGTCCAGCTCCTCATAGAAGGGGCATGTCCCTGGTGGGTGGCTGCTCTTGGCTTTCCGGTAGCTTCGAAGGAGGTTTTTGAATCTGTAGCGACACTGCTCCAGCGTCCGCAGGAAGCCCTGTGCGCACAGCCGCTCTGCAATGGCACGGTATACCTGGCTGTTCTGGTGACAGGTGCGAAGCTTTTCAGAGAACGGGGATTCACTGAGAATGGTCAGGAAGGCCTTGGTCTCCTCGTAGCCCCAGTGCACACCTGCTGTCAGGAGTGAAGAGTTCAGAACTGTGAGGTATAATGAGACTTGCCTAAGTCATCAGGGATTAGGGTCCCCCAACCCACCAAATGCCTAGAACACAGGCACCTCAAAATCTTCCAGGCACCTGGGGCCCCAGCAAAGACTATTCCCTTGCTTCTCAGGAGTGCGCCAGAGCCTCCCGCCCCCTTCTAAGAGTCTCCACTAACTCTTGAGTCTTAGCTGAAGAGGACTCAGGTGGCCACGTTATACTAGGTGACCCTACTCCTCTGGTTTCCATTGACTAGTGTGGGGAAAGACCTGTAGTTGGATCCAAGAGACTTTCTCTTTATCTATTCCATACATATCCTCTATTTATTTTATGAACTTTCCTCTTAACAAATGTGGGAATTGAGAATCTCTAAACATAAGTGGACTTCAAATAACTTTACAATAGCATCCAACTGAGGAAGCGCTTTCCTCTTTTGTGGAGGAATGAAAGGAGGCAGTCTGTTCTCAGGTCCTCTGCAGGTAAATGATGCAGCCCAGGGAGGCAGGATTGTGTAGAGGAAAACCACACAAAACTAGAGGCAGAAGCTCTGGGCTCTGACTTTGACTCTGCCCCTACCTCATTGTCTATATTTAGATAAGACACGTCATCTCTTGGGCTTCAGTGTTTCCACTTATACAATGACTGGATGTTTCTCCAAACGTCATGTGTTCAACCATACACCATCATGATTTCTGTTATATGTTAAATATTTCACTCAGTATCTTTCTTTACCTAAATTTACTGTCTGTGAAATTGCAGGTTGATATGCTCATCCACAGTAAAATTAAAAGTTCACTCATATAACACTATAACCATCCCCATACTTCTAGTGACACGCTTTGGCAAATATAGGTGAAATTTGAACAACACAGGTTCGAACTGCAGATCCACTAATATACAGATTTATTTTTTTAAATATATAGTACTGTAAATATATTTTCTCTTCCTTATGATTTCAGTGACATTTTTCCTAGTTTACTTTATTGTAAGAATACAGTATATAATACATATATAAAATATAAAATACATGTAAGTTATTTATAGTACTGGTAAAGCTTGTGGCCCACAGTACGCCATTAATAAACTTGGGGGGAGTCAAAGAGCTATACATGTATTTTTGACTGAGCAGAGGATCAGTACCTTAACTCTTGCATTGTTCAAGGGTCAACTGATACTGAATTAGCTCTCTAAAGTTATTTAAGGCTTTAAAAGTTTGCTTCTATAACTAAGAAAATTCACTCTAGGAAACTAATCATAGATGAAAAGAAAGGTTGAGGATAACCTAAGGAACTGAACACCTTACTCCAGTGGCATCAATCTAGACTTGCGGGACATGTGGGTGGCTCAGTGGCTGGGCAGCTGCCTTCAGCTCAGGTCATGATCCCGGGATCTGGAATCGAGTCCCACATCGGGCTCCCTGCTAAGAGCCTGCATCTCCCTCTGCCTATGTCTCTGCCTCTCTCTGTGTCTCTCATGAGTAAATAAATAAATCTTAAAAAAAAAAATAGACTTGCAATCCAGTCTATGTCCTGAACTCAGCAAGCAGAAGTCTCATGGGCTGGAGAGCTAGAATCTGGATCCATGATACCCCCTCGTTCTTACCGATACGACTCTGGAACAGAGTTGGGCCCCCTGGAATCCTGGGCTCCTGGACGGACTCGTCAGTGGCCAGCTCATCACCATTACAGTCTTCTGCTACTTCTTCAGGCTCCCAGACCCCTTCCTCCTGCTCATCCATCTCTGCATCGCTATCCCCCAGCCTGGGGAGTGCCATGGCCTCTCCTGGGCCCTCTATGGCTCTGTTAGCTGTCCGAGCCCTCACCAGGGCCTCCAGCTCCTCGTAGAAGGGGCACGTTCCTGGTGGGTGGCTGCTCTTGGCTTTCCGGTAATTCCGTAGGAGATTTTTGACCCTGTAGCGACACTGCTCCAGTGTCCGCAGGAAGCCCCGGGCCCTCAGCCGCTCTGCAATGGCCCGGTACACCTGGCGGTTCTGATGACAAGTCCGGAGCTTTTCAGAGAAAGGAGACTCACTCAGAATTGCTAGAAAAGTCTTGGTCTCCTCGTAGCCCCAGTGCACACCTGACACCTTCATGTCCTCTGCGTCCCACTGACATTGTTCCTCCCAGGCCTTGGAGTCTCTCCAGGCCAATGCCTGAGCTGGTCTCATTTGCTCATTACCCAGGTTGTAATCTACAGTGTTCCTTTTTCCAGAGTTTATAAAGTTTGGATGCCAAAATTCTGGTCCTTGCTCTGGCTGGCAGTTGATACTTGGTTTTGAAACTGGAACTCCTAAACAAAAGAAAGAAGAGGAATGATTAAGTAGAAATGATACACTGAGCACAGCATTTGTCCAAAATGCCCTGAAACAGATCATTTCCCTATGTGAGGTCAATGAGAAATTCCTATGCTGATTCCCCACCTTAACTGACCTGTTTTCTTTGTTCACTTGCTTCCTTTGTTGCACTTATGAAATATATCACACAAAGAGTAACTGTTACTGATGGGAATGTGGCCTAAACTGGCCCAATCAGGATGAATTTAATGGCTAGAGAAAAGATTTCCATCTCTCACTCATTCACTGTGTGTGTGTGTGTGTGTGTGTGCGCACGCGCGCGCACGTGTGTGTGCATGTGCACACCCACACACAAGTGTTTTGCTAGGAAACTTGTGAGCCCAACTGTCATCTATCTTTTGATTATGACACATGACAGTGCTGGTGGGAAGCTGACAGGGAGGATGGCAGAGCAGAGAAAAAGAACCTAAGTCTGCTGTGACCTCGCTGAGCCACTTTATACTGTGGCTGGAGCATGTCCTCCTCTCGACTTCCAAAAATGTGAGAAAATACATTTCCTTATTTTTTAAAACACTTAGCAGCTCTGTGTAAAAGACTGCTGTCCCAACAGCTCCCAGCCCTCACAAAACAGGAAGCCTTTAATTAAAATAAAAATTTGAAGAAAACCAGATCAGAAAGAACTGAGAACTAAAAAACTTTAGGCCTACCAAAGTTTGCTCCTGTGAACACTATCTCCCCCAGATATCATGGTTGAGGTAAAAAAAATAAATAAAATAAAAAGAGTTCTACTGTCAAGAAAGGTGCCAAGACTTCTCATGTCTCCTCTTACCTCCCCTTAGGAGGCACACCTATCACTGTCTGCCACTTTATTCCCCTCATGTCTAATCCCTCACACTAACCCCAGGCTCCACAGGGAAATAGTTCATTTTTGTTTGGCTCCTGTGGAGATGCAACTATAGAGACAGGAGTTAGTGCGGAAGATGTAAGCTTCAAGTGCTTTGAGCCCTGTGACGTTTACTTCTACTGTGTTTAGTACATCAGTCTCCGGGGCTCAGCTCACTGGAATCTGTCCCTGAGAGATGGACCCTGTTCGATGCTGAAAAGGACTGGATTTCTGAGATGGCCTAGGACAGCCATGATGAATGTCTTGAGGAAGCGAGTCCCAAGAGGGCAGGCTTTCAGAAGCCACCACCCTATATCACCCCACATCCTACATTCCATTTCTGCCACCAGTGCTGGCCATAAAGATCATGTTGTCTTCTTGTCTTCTTGTGTCTCAAGTTCCAGACTTCCAGAGCCACGAGTCTTAAGGGAGTGACAAAACAATTCTTTGGGAACTGAGTATAACAGAAATCAGACAATATTCCTGAGAGGGCACTGTTTCCTTACCTAGGGGCATGCCGTTCCCACACCCATCTCCTGGGGGATCCTTGCAGAATTCCTTCTCAGCATGTTTGCCAGGTCCCAGGGCTTCCTGTGAGATGTACAAGACAAGGACCACAACTGAAAACAGCCTGGGAACTCTGCCAGGCCCCAGGAAAGGTAACGGACACAGGGATACCATGTGTGAGGCCAGTGTCATAAGAAGCAACATGACGGAAAAGGCCCAGTAGATTGGGAACCAGGGCCAGAGGCTGACGCCCTGTGACATATGCCCTTCTGCTGAGGGCAGGTTACAGAGAGAGGAGAAGGGCATGGGGGTAAGAGCCCAGAAACCAGGACAGGAAAGAATGGACAAACCGCAGCTTACCTGGGACTCCGCTGTCACCTCCCAATCTCCAACACTCCCCATCTTTGGGAGAGTAGGGACTCGGGGAGTGAGAACAGCTGAGGAGAAGAAAAGTCTCTAAAACCCAAGCTCTGGTTCCCAAAAAACCACGCCCTCCCAAGTCCAGCTTTCCAAGTGCCATGCTTGCCTCAAGTGGAGACTGCCCTGATAGCCACGGCAGATTTCCCCTTTTACTGTCCTTCTGGAGTGTGGCTCTGAAACTGAGAGATGTGCTGTGTATAAGATGCCATCTCAAACTCCTATGATCACCACCTGGCCCCAACCTGATCTGAACATGCTGCGGCACTAAGCTCAGTGGGGTTACCAACATCGCTGGGAGCTTCATCTTCTTGCACAATGCTTACTCACACCTTCCTTCTCGGCATGTCCATCAGACACTATATCTACCCCTTGCCTTGAATTCTTCACATCCCTCCTCCCTGTGCTTCCTTCCTTATCCCCTCTAACCCTCTCCTCTCTTCCCTCATGTTCTCTGATTCTTGATACTCACCACTCTCTTTCAAGGGCTGTGGCACCATCTTGGTGTCTAGATGTTTTGGAAGGTCAGGGCATGAATTCTTCACCCACTGCTTCTGGCCCTGGGCCTCAGGCCAGTGATTTGCTGGCTGCAGCTGGCAAGGCTGAGATTCCTGCATTGCCTTTAAGGACCTGGTCTCTTCTGCACACAAGCCCAGTTCCTACACACACACAGTCAAAATTCCCAATTGTCAGTTCAAAAGGACCAATTTTGCTAGGTCAGGGAGTGTTCTTTTGAGTACAGCTGTGGTCCAAGGGTTAACAAGCTCTTTTTAAGATTCAGAGATGCCTCAAAGTGTAACAACAAAACCATGAGACTGACATTAGTAAACAGACCAGCACTGATACCACCAAATGACTACTGTTTTGTTTGACACAGGGAGGATATGCAAGTGTCTCAGTGAGGTCACTACGGTTTCAAACATTTTTGAATCATAAAACATGATTTTATGATTGAAACATAATCTCTAAATATCAAAAATAGGTGGTTTCATTTTTAAGTTATCAAAAAAAGATAAAAGTTGACTGGGTATACGTCAGAAGATAAAAACAGATATAACAATAATTCTAAATATAATTGCTCTAAATATTCCTGCTGCAAGGCAAAGAAAATTCAAAAATAAATATAAGAGAAAGGATAGGCAAACAATTACAGATGGAATTTTAAAATGGAATGAAAGTGTGTGCTGTTTTAGAGAGGTCCATCTACTCTCAAAACAGAAGGAGAAGCAGAGACAAGGCACTGTAACTCAAAAGGAAAACAGAAGTGGCAATTCGATTTCAATGCAGAAGTTCAGGCAGAAAAGCATTCAGAGACAAAGAGCAAATATATAAAACACAGGAGAATAATCAATTAAGAGAGGACAGTACCAAATTCAGCATTATTAATCATAAAGCTCATTTCTTATCTGTTAGTTGGTTCCAAATTCAGAGATGGAGGCAGAGATTATCTCCTGGCTCTAAAACCCTAACGACGTAATAATCTCATTGCCTTGTAGAAACTTTAAGAAATATGTTTCAATGTTTTCAATAAGTATTTTCAATACTCAGGTGGTTCAAAAATAGAAACTATAAGGGTTTAGTTAGTGAAAATACCCTATCCCTTCCCCTGTGCCCATCCCATCTGCCCAGTGTCTTCCTTTACCCCATTCTTCCCCACAGGAAACCACTGTTCTGCACCCTTTTGTTTCTTTATATACAAGCATCTATGAATACAGACTTCCCTATTTTTATATAAAACATAGCAATAATATACATTGCTCTGAACCTTATTTTTTTATTCACAATAGTAATATCCTCACCTTCATCGACTTAATGAGTTTGTGAAATACATAACTCCAAAAATCTTTTGGCTGATCTAAAAACTCCAGTTTTTAGACAAAACTCAAAGACAGGGATGTTTATCCTTAAGATATATGGAATGGGCCATGAGCATAAAAAGCCATTCCAAAAGAGGCCATCTACCAATGTCCTGTATGGTTTACAGGGAGAAAACATCTGCTTACAACCTTTTTCCATGGTTGTTTAAGGAAAAAACAAATGAACTTCTCTTTGTTATAGCTATAATCTTACAATCTACAGAGTAACTATGTGATTAGACTCCATAACAATCCTCACTTCCAGCCCAAGTGCCTCCAACTACTGCCATGCCTAAGTAAAGACACTGATGCCATGGATGACAACTGTAGACACAGAGGAGGGATTCAAGTGACAAAAAGGGGGAAAAAATAGACAACTGGCTGGGGTAGGGATAAATAATCCATCAAAAATGCCTATGCATGAAGGAACTTTAATGAATACTACACTAAGTGAAAGAAGCCAATCATACATCCTGTATGATTCCAACTATGTGACACATTGGGAAAGGCCAAACTATGAAGACAGTAAAAAGATCAGTAGTTGCTAGGGGTTTAGAGACAGGAAGGGTAAGTATGCAGAGCACAGAGGATTTTTAGGGCAGTGAAACTACCTTGCATGATACCGTAATGGTGGATGCATGTCGTTACACATTTGTCAAAATCCACAGAATGCACAACACCAAGAGTGAGATCCTATATAAACTCTGGACTTTGGATGATAATGATGTGTCCAATGATGACAGGTGCACCGCACTGGTGGGGAATGATGTTCATGGGGTTGGGAGGCAGGAGGCATATAAGAAATCTCCGTACTTTCTGCTCAGTTTGGTATTTTTGGTTTGTTTTTTTAAAGATTTTATTTACTTATTTGAGACAGACAGGGAAAGTACAAATGTGGAGGCAGGGCAGGGGGAGAGGTAGGGCACACCCCTGGGATCAAGACCTAAGCTAAAGGCAGATGCTTAACCAACTGAGCCACCCAGGTGCCCCTTTTCTGCTTAGTTTGGCTGTAAACTTAAAATTGCTCTAAAAAATAGTGTCGTTGTTGTTTTAATCTTTTTTTTTTTTAAGATTTTATGTATTTATTCATGAGACACACACACACACAGAGAGGCAGAGACACAGGCAGAAGGAGAAGCAGACTCCATGCAGGGAGCCCGACGTGGGATTCGATCCTGGGTCTCCAGGATCACGCCCTGGGTTGAAGGCGACGCTAAAACGATGAGGCACCCGGGCTGCCCGTGTTGTTTTTTTTTTAATGCCTATGCACCTGATGGGAAGAGGGGTTCTGGAAGAGATGATAAGAGAATCAACAAACCAAAACCCACCCAATAGCAGAGCTGAAAGGTCTCTGTAAGGAAAATATCTTGGAGGATTATTAAGCCCAAAAGTGCCACCTTTTCCAAGTGGTTCTCTCTTAAGGACCCTAGTTAGCTAGTAAGACCTGGAAAAATTTCACTTGCAGAAAACTATAACTGAGTCAGGTCCCCTGCAATGGAAGATCACAAGCTATAACATATGTGAGGGCAGGGAAGCTCCTCTACTACCTACCCATTTGTTGTGTGTGTGTGTGTGTGTGTGTGTGTGTGTGTGTGTGTGTGTTTGTTTTTGTTTTTTTTAAAGATTTTATTTATTTATTCATAGAGACAAAGAGAGAGAGAGAAGCAGAGACACAGGCAGAGGGAGAAGCAGGCTCCATGCAGAGAGCCCGATGTGGGACTCGATCCAAGGTCTCCAGGATCATGCCCTGGGCTGCAGGCGGTGCTAAACCGCTGCGCCACTGGGGCTGCCCCCTACCCATTTGTTTTGACATTTGGGAGCACTAAGGAGGAGGGAAAAAGTTAAAAAATAAAAACAATAGTCATAGGAAAGTAATACATTATAGAGAACATTCAATTACCTTACTTCTCCCCTCCCCCCCCCCAATTTTAGAAGCAGTTCAACCTTTGCTCAGCTCACAGGGATATAATTTGAGAACTTTTGGCCTAGCCCAACCCTCTCTTTTACACATAAAGAGTTATGAAGACCTTGATTTAAATTGATTGATTCTCATCTCAAGTTATCTTTCAGCTCTGAAGTCCTAAGACTTCCATTCGTTTTTTTCACTGCCACTTAAGATGAATAGCTGGTTTCTTTAAAAGAAATAATCTGGGGGGATCCCTGGGTGGCGCAGCGGTTTGGCGTTTGCCTTTGGCCCAGGGCACGATCCTGGAGACCCGGGATCGAATCCCACGTCGGGCTCCCGGTGCATGGAGCCTGCTTCTCCCTCTGCCTATGTCTCTGCCTCTCTCTCTCTCACTGTGTGACTATCATAAATAAATTAAAAAATTTAAAAGAAATAATCTGGGGGGATCCCTGGGTGGCGCAGTGGTTTGGCGCCTGCCTTTGACCCAGGGCGCTATCCTGGAGACCTGGGATCGAATCCCACGTCGGGCTCCCGGTGCGTGGAGCCTGCTTCTGCCTCTGCCTGCGTCTCTGCCCCTCTCTCTCTCTCTCTCTGTGACTATCATAAATAAATTAAAAAAAATTTAAAAAAAAAAAAAAAAGAAATAATCTGGGAAGGCAGTGTGGTATATTAAAATAAGGTACACTCTCTCACACTTTGTTCTATAACTTCAAATAGTAGCTTTCTGTGTCTTCAGTTTGTAAAGGAATAAAAAAAGCCAAGCCACAGACCATAAACCTTCCTTCCCCTAATCTCACACCTGTCCAGAGCTTTACCCCTTATGACATACAGAAAACCCCAGCCATTTGCAAGGGATGTTCTCAAACCTATAGCTTCCCCCAACAAAGTGTGATTAACTAGAACATCACAAGAACTACTGACTATGTAAGGGGAAGCAACTGGCTTATGCTGAGATGAAGGTTCTGGGTGGCTGGCTCAGGCTGCAGCCAGCTCAAGGACTTTGTTCTACACATGCCAGCTCAAAAAACAGGATTCAAAAAGAGTGTGCCACAGAAAAATTAGAAATGATATCATGGGCCTTCGGTCTCTTGCAAAGTATTGAAACTGTGAATGTTAAATCCACAGTGCTTTCACTTCCTTGACCTCGGCTCTACCACTGAGTTATCCAAATCTAGACAAGTTACTTACATCTCTGAGTCTGTTTCCACATCTGCAAAATGGTGGCACGATAGCACCTACCTTATTGGGCTGCTGTGTTGATTAGATGAGCAATACAAATAGAGCCAAGAAGAGTGTCTGACACACAGTGAGCGCTCATGTCAGTTACTATCTCCTTTGAGTCTCATGCCTCAGAGATATTTTAGTTCCCACGGTTTGCAGATGAGGCATCTGTCATGTCATAGAAATGACAGTAAACTTGGAACCTGAGGATCTAGGTTTAAGCTCTGGTTTCCTACTGGCAGAGCTTTGCGAGCCACCTGACTTCTAGAGCCTTAGTGTAAGCTAAATAATGAGGATGGTAATGCTACATCTGTCCACCCCAATTTCTGCTATAAGCACCCAAAGATTTCATCACATGTGAAACATAATACAAATTACCCACACTATGAATATGGTCACAGGAGGCCGTCTGGGTGGTTCTGAACATGGGTTTCTGTGTCAGGCTGCCCAGACACACATCCTGGCTCTGTTGTCTGGGGCTGTGTCACCTCAAGCCAACCACCTATCTTCCCTTTGCCTCAGTTTCCTCATTGGTAAAATCAGGGTTAACAGTACTTATCTCATTAAACTTTGACAGGACTAGATGAGTTAATACATGCAAAGCACTGAGAACAGTGGTACACAGCAGTGCTCAATAAATGTCAGTTGGTCAATAACAATAATTATTATTACCACTGTGGTTTTGGGCAATTATTAACCTATTCACAGCCCCACCACCTTGTCTGACCTGCTCCTTGGAGAACAGATCGTTTGCCTCACCCTCTGTCCTGCAGCCCGGACCTCTCGGTGCCAATCTTCCACCAGGGCCACTGCCTCCTCACCACTCTCAGGATGGCGCGCTTGCACCCAGGTCTGGATCTCCCTGGGTAAGATAGTCAGGAACTGCTCCAGGACCAGGAGCTCCAGGATCTGCTCTTTGAGGCGGATCTCTGGCCGCAGCCAGTGACAGCAGAGTGCCCAGAGCTGGCTGAAGGCCTCGTGGGGTCCAGCTGCATCCCTGTACTGGAACTGCCTGAAGCGCTGGCGGGAGGCCTCGGGGCCAGGGACAGGGTGATGGTCCTCCTCTCGGAGTTTGGATTCTGATCTCCACGAGTCCTCCTCCCGTTTCACAATCGGGAGTTCTTCAGGTTCTGGTCGAGGAGAGGCCTGGGCCTGGGGTTCCAGGGCTACAGCCATAGTCGGTCCTGGACACCTCGCTTCAGCTGGGCTGTCCTTGTTCAACGTTGTCCTGCATCTAAGGCGTGTCCTTCAAGGGGCTCCTAGGAGAGGCAATGCTCCCCAAGGCTCTGAGGCAGAGAGACAAGGGACAGTGTAAGAGGACCCCCGTATCTTCCACTGCCTTCTCATGGGGTGGGGGTGTGAAGAGAGGAATAGGTGTAAGTGGGAAGACAAACCACAATCTGGCACCCAAACCAGCACAGTATGAAATCCTCTGGGATGTGCCTGAACGCTACCTTCTGGCATCAAGGCCTTCACGATCCAACATGCCTTCCTTCCTCTACACATGCCCAAGTCTGACCTTTCCTCCAAGTGGGTTCCAAATGTTACCCCCTCGCTCTATCAGGCCTTTTCCCCCAGACCTTCAGCTTTCTTCTAATGGTGCTGTCCTTACAAAAATCCCTTCACTCCCTCTTGGCCAACCCATCCATTTGGCATTTTTTACCATCTCGAAACTGATGACTCTCAAAACTTCCACCAGGACCTGCCTCCAGACCTCCAGACCCCAAATCCAACCATCTACAGGATATTTCCACTTTGTCTATGAGGCGCCTCAAACTCAGTGGGCCACAAACTTAATTTGTTATTTTCTCCTGCAAACTTGTCCTTCTGCTGGAGCTTTCCACCCAGCCAAGCCACCACCACCCTTTTTTTCCCTAAGATTTTGAGACAAAGAAAGTGAGAGAGAGGAAGTGCATAAGCTGAGGGGAGGAGCAGAGGGAGAGAAACTCAGCAGGGAGTCTGATGCAGGCTGGATTCCAGAACCCTAGGATCATGGCCTGAGCTGAAGACAGACGCTTAACTGACTGAGCCACCCAGGCACCACCTTCTATCAAGTAACCCACGCCAGAAACCTGGTTATCATCTCTCTCCAACATCCCCAACATCCAATTCATAAGCAAGCTGTGCCCTCCTGGACTTCTAGGCATCTACACCTCAATGCCATCACCTCGAGTCAGGGAGTAGCCATGCTTATCACTGGATCAGCCTCCTAACTCATGTCTTTGGCTGCTCTCCCCTCACCCCAACCAGGGTTCTTCACACCACAACCAGACTAGCTCCAAGCCTGACCAGGTCACTTCTTGCTAAACACCTTCGAGTGACCTCCTACGACCCTCAGGATCAAGTGTGAATCTTGCCCACGGGCTCATCTTATCTCTTTGCCCACTTCCGCTGGTCAGGAAGTTCCAGCTGCATAGTTTGCTGCCCTCTGAACCCTCCCACAGGCAGCAGGCAGTCTCCTTTAGGAAGGGTCCTCCCTTTCTTCACCCAGCTAAGTCTCAGCTTCAACTGTACTTTTTCCAAGAGACCCTTCCTGTGCCCTGAAACGAGATTCAGTCCTTCCTATGGCACAAGCTTCCACGCCACCTACATTTTCTCTGTCATCACCCTGATTATGCTCTAGTGGAGTTATCTTACCCACTAGATCATAAGCTTACTAGCACCATGCTCAGCACACGCAGGAAACACTTAATAAACAGTGAGACAATGGTTAGCTCAGGATGGTGATGTGTCATACAACAAGGGTTATAATTAATCCCCTTCTGCACACACTAGCTTTTTTTTAAATGACCTTCTTGCTCATGCCAGAAGGAATGCTTTTCTCCGCTTCCATCTATGTCACACATGCCACATTCTCTGTTGTATTACAGCGTTGTCTGTATGTGCAGCCCCAGAGAGATTACAGCCTAAGGACAAGGAATATAGCTTACCCCTTCCCTCCTCCGCCCCAATAAACACGGCGCACCATGCACAGGAGGCTCTCAGTAAATGCTTGTTGAATGGACATCGGGGGTTGCTTCTTTTACACAATGAAGACCCTGACAACACTTATGCTGGCTTATCTGGAAAAACGAGCTCTTTGTGTCATTCCCAGCACATTCGGATGACATAAAAAACCCCACTCAAAGGCAGCTATCAGCTGCCTCCAAGCAGGAATGACAGAGCTCAAGTGAGAATGGAGCGGCGTGGTATTCAGATTTTAGGCCATCTGGACTGTCCAGAAACAAGGCCAGGGTGATGTAAAATAAAGCCTTGTCCTGCCTGAAGACCGCCACATACACAAGGAGGCTAGGTACACAACTTGTAAGCACCTGGCGACTTCCTGTCTGTCCTTCGGCTACCATGTCAATGTCACCCCACCTGTCAAGAATTCCTTAACATGCCCTTGTTGTGCCCTGCCCCCATCCCTGCTCTCCCAGAATTGCCTCCTCCCTCCTAAGTTCCCAAAGCAGTTGGCACATACCTCCAACATAGGTGTTATCCTACACCACTGTAATTATCTGTTCCTACCTCTGACAGCCCCACTGAATTGGATTATCAGGGTCAGGACTCTGTTACTCACTTCTGTATCCAGAGTGCCTGATAAATACCAGGGCCACTGCCTCTTATTTTTTGTTTTTTGTTGCTTTTTATTAAAATGGCAGGTCTGGTATATCAAAAGCCTAATGCACTATGGGAGGTCCATCATTTATATTAAACTAAAGAAATCACTTTTCATGAATTTTCTTTTTTAGCCACAGCCTGAATCATGCACTAGTCCAAAAAACGTTTGTCACTCTCTCACACAAGGACTAATTCACCACCAGTCATTTACAGACTCCTACCATGTACCTGCCCTGTACTGGTAGCTGGTGAGCCAACAGTACCTAGGACCTTCACGAAAGTTACAATCTCATGAGAAAGACAGTCAATAAAGCAAGCAAAGAAGTGCTCCTGCAGAGAGAGAACAACACTACAACAAACAGGCAACTAGTAGTTCTGCAAGGCCCAAAGCCCAGAGTCTCAGGTAATAGGTATTTTCTTCTGGGAAGACTTGAAAGTCCCAAAGATTAGTTTCAAATACAAATCTGAAAGCTTTTTCTGCTACTCTCTTAGATATGAAAAGCTGCCTATTCACAGACAGAGGTCAATACAGTCGGCAGATAGCAAGGTGACTTGACACAGAGCTGACAGAAAAAATAGCTCAGTCCTAGACACCCAGGAGTATCCAGGCCACACCAGGATCAGCAATCTCAAAGAGTACCCACCTACTGAGTGCCCATGAGGTGCTCGGCCTGACACTAAGTGTCCTACATTCATAATTTCATTGTATCCTCCAGGCAGGCATTAGGGGCAGATCTCTGACCACCCCACTGTCATTAGCATGGAGGTGCACTACACTGATCTGTAACTTACACATATTAAACTGCATGAAACACCAGAAAGCGTAAGAAAGACATAATTTAAATGGTGCAGTCAGTTCCATTCACTATGTGTCTATTCCAGAACAAGCATGACTTTCCTGGTCTCCAGGTTGATCTAAGTTTCTCAAGCCTTCCTTTCCAGTGTGTGTATCTTTCATCCATCAGGGTCCCCAAACACAGGCCAACTCTTTCATCTGACATTCAAACAAGGAAACCCAGCTGTGCTGGTTAGCTTATTGAAAGACAATGTGTTGGTTTCTAAGTGGATCCTTGCCAAAGGATTTTCAAGAGGACTGTGATTTTTGGCTAAATGTGATTTCCACTTCTGTGCTGACTTTAGAATAGAATTATCCTGTAAAGTATGAGTCCATATCCTCAATTTACATACAGGGAATTGAACTTCTATGAAGCAGACTTGCTTAAGTTCACAGAACTAGCAAGCAGCAGAGTTGAGACTCAGTCAAGATCTGTTCTATCTAGTCATTTTTCTTAATCACACTATGCAGCTTCCTCTAGGTCTGCCAATCATTCAAACTCCTTGAGAAGATGGTACAAGACTGGAAAGAACATTAAGGCAGGAGGGAGCAAACCAGGGTTCCAGTTCCACTCCTGCCATTATCAGCTGTTGGACCCTGGATGACAAGTCATGTGGCCTCTGCACCTTACAGCTTGACCCTTCTCAATGCTTGCCCCAGATTCCCCAACTAATATGATGGGAGCAGAGCAAAGGAGAAGGAAGCCTAGAATCAGTGGCTACACATTTAAATGGCGATAGGGGACAGGCAATGTAAATGGGTACATGAGTGGACTGGGGGCTGTGGCTAACTATAGAGCACTAGAGAGAACACTGGCCCAGTTCCCAGGCCTTCTATTTTTTCCAAGAGAAGCTAATTCTGGATTTTTAAATATTGGCAACCAACTCGAAATTGTTTCAAACACCAGGACTAAATAGAGGATAATGATAGGCTTCTTTCAGCATGGGCTGTCATCACTTGACCATCTTTCAGCTAATTGATCTCAAAGGTCTCTTCCAGTATCTAGGAAGACCAGAAAGGGTACAGATTCCTCCTAAGCAATGAGGGATTGGTGTTGACTGGGGTCAGGATCCCTTTACAAATACAGGGCAGCTGAGGGGCATGCTGGCTCCTAGGGTTTTCAGCATGTCTGTGAACATAAGGAGCCCACCCACTTTAACAGTGGGGTGGTAAGAGCTCTGCCCCAATCCCATGGGAAAGGCCAAAACTGGTCTGTGACCTCCAAAGAAGAAACCAGGAGTCCCCAAAGGCTGTTAAGCTTACTGGGCTGATGGTCCAGGCTACTGCTTAAAGTAACTTGACCTCCCATTTAAGGGCTTAAACCACGGAGAGCAAATGGGCTTCACGTAAAGCATCAACTTCAGTCAACTGCACTAAGGACTTGGAACCCCATGTCAGTATGTGTTGTCACTAATTAGTTATGACCACCAGACACAGGGAGGAGAAGTGGCAGCACACATCCTATGTATTTGCCTCCCCTGGATTAAACTCTCATAGGTAATAAATCAGCACCCAACAAGGATAGCCCTGACATCTCATGCCCCTAGAGATCCACTGGAAGTAGTAGTCTTCAAGACTGAAAAAGCAAAGTTTACCCTGGACTGTCATCATTCACACATGCATCAAGTATTGACCGATTTACTTGATTTACATCAAGTGTTTACTACCCAGGGCTGAGCAATGAGGAAGTGGAAGAGACTCAGAAACTGTCCTTGTCCCAGAGACGCTTACAGTCTAGTGGAAGAGACTGCCCCACCTCCAAAAGTCACAGATATTTATGGTCAAAGGTGGTAAATGCAGTAAAAGAGGTCTGTGGGAACTGGGGTTGGGACATGGCCTAATCTGCTTAAGGCAACTGATCAAAGTAACATTTGAGTTGGTTCTTGGGAAAATTGTTTTCTTGGCTGGCCATGGGGCAAGAAAGTGTACTCCAAGCTAAGAGAACAGCATACAGAACAGTGGAAAACCAAACAGCCTTAGGCTGCAGAGGGAGTTTATGAAGGGTCCTGACTATCAGGCTAAGGTGTTTGGACTTCATTCTACAGGTGATGGGAGCCAAGATGGTTTTTAAGCAGAGGGAACAGTAAGATCTGTGGGTTAAATAGATGACGCTGGCTACGATGTGTCTGTCCGAGCTGGGGAAGCGAAAAGGTGGGAGACTTCAGCAAAAACCCTGACCAGAAAGGGGCAGATTCAGGACACATTAAGGAAACAGAACAACCTGAAGATCCTGGATGCAGGAGAGGGCAAGAGGAATCAGAGGGTCTGGCTAAAGTGGATGTTGGTGCCATTCTCCTCCATCAGGCAGAAGGAAAGGGGTGCTGTTGTGGGGCCACAAGCCAGTCCCACCTACTTGGTTCCAGAGGTCACCACCATTAGAGGAAGTGTAAGGGGGATCAAATCAGCTGTGTTCCTCAAGGCGAGCAGGTAGCGGCTGGAACACTATTTTTAAGGTCGGGCTTCCAGCTCAGGCCCTTTTCCCTTCACTTCTTGCCGGACACCGAGAACCCTCTAGCCTTCCCTCTGTGGTCTCCTGAGCCTCCCAGGACTCTCCCACCTCCAGGACCTCTCGCAGTCTCCTCACCTGCAGACCTCTCCACGACCCTCCTCACTCTCAGGGCCTTCTATCTCCCCGCTCATCCCCGACCCCTCTATGACCCTTCCCATCTCCGGACGCTTCATCCCCTGGCCGCCCCTCACCCCCGCCCCCACAGAAAAGCTTCGTTCTCCCCTCTCACCTTCCCTGGCCCCCTGGGACACCACCACCTCCTAAGCCTCCAGCCCAGAGCCTAGAGTCTCAGCTGCCCCCGCCCCGCCACCCAGACTCACCCACCGAGACACCCACTTCACGACAGGGCGGAAGTGCTCCGGGGTTCGCGCAGGGAATGCTGGGACGCGCAGTCCGAACCGTGCCACCCCGGGACGAGAGCGTCTGAGACTACAACTCCCAGAAGGAACTGCGCGAGAACCAGTGGGCGGCTCCCTCCGTTTGCTGCCAGTCAGATGCCGTCAGCCAATAGGTGTGTCATCTTCTCCCGGTCTTGGGCACCGGAACAAATCGGAACAGGATCTATTCTTGGGGGCGGAGCCTATCGCGACCCCGGTCCTTTCCACAGGCTCCGAGATTATGGCACCGCCCAGTGGGCGGGCACTCAGGCTGAAGGGGGCGGGGCCGGCTTCAGGAAAGAGGCGGGAGAGGTGGGCCGGGGAGACGTCACAGCAGAAATAGGGAGAAATAAAGAGAGGGGGACTGCTGGAGAGGAGAGAGTTGGGCAATTGTAGGTTCAATTTCCAGCTCACTGTTAAGCTACGTGATTTTGGATCGATGGTGAACCTCGCATTCTTCACCTGTCAAGTGAGGATAATAACAGCATCAGTTCGCCGGAGTTTTGTGAGGCTTCAATGAGAAAATACACCTAAAACGATTAAATCAGGGCCGGCGTCCTAATAATACACGGCAACTGTTAGCCATTATTATGTAAATCAGCACAGAGCTTGGCATTTCGTGGGTGTTGGAAAAATGTTCATCATTATTTGAATAATAATAATAATCAGAATAATTTCAATATAAATGCAGTTGCTTTGTACCATTATAAATACTTCTTCGGGATATGAGCAATCTCATATGGGGTTGAACATGTGGGGTTTGCAGTCAGGCATGGATCCAGATCCCAGCCCAACTACTCCTTAGCTGTGTGGCCTCAAATGTATTACCGCATCTCTTTTGTGTTAGGTTTTCGCGTCTGTAAAATGCAGGTGATGTAATAGAACTCACATCACAGGATGTTGTGGAGATGAAATGAGGTAACTCGGGTAAAGCATGATCTCTGGAATCAAGCTGCCTGTGTCTGAAATGTCTTTCAAATGCAGGATGTAGGGTTTGCCTCTCACTAGTTGTTAAACCTCTGGCAAATCACTTAACCTCTTTGTGCTTCAGTTTCCTTATCCGTAAAATGGGAATTTTCATAATGGCATCTATCTAATAGCATTTGTGTGAGGAATGCCTAGGAAAGTTTGTAAAGGACTTGGCCCATGCCTGGCAGGAGGTTAATAATCATTCGCTATTATTATTTTTACTAGTAGGTATGAGACTTTAGGGAAAGTAATAGTACTCAGCATATGGCAAGTGATCAATATATGTTGGCTCTTGTTAGAAATTTGGGGAATTCTATATTTTAGGGGTTTTTTTGTTTTTTTAGATTTTATTTATTCATTAGGGAGAGAGAGAGAGAGAGAGAGAGAGGCAGAGACATAGACGGAGGGAGAAGCAGGCTCCATGCAGGGAGCCTGACGTGGGACTCCATCCTGGAACTCCAGGATCACACCCTGGGCTGAAGGCAGGCGCTAAACCGCTGAGCCACCCAGGGATCCCTATATTTTAGTTTTATTTATTTTTTTTATTTTTTTATTTTATTTATTTATTTATGATAGTCACAGAGAGAGAGAGAGGCAGAGACATAGGCAGAGGGAGAAGCAGGCTCCATGCACCGGGAGCCCGACGTGGGACTCGATCCCGGGTCTCCAGGATCGCGCCCTGGGCCAAAGGCAGGCGCCAAACCGCTGCGCCACCCAGGGATCCCTATATTTTAGTTTTAAAGGCCCAGTTCCTCCTCACGTTCAAAGTGAAACGTGTCCCAATTTATTCATTGTTGACAACTCAAGTGATTGTGCTCAGTGATCATAATAGTGACCTGTATACCACTCCTTGCTATTGAAGTCTTACAACAGCCCCATGAGGCTGGCATTATTACCTCCAACTTCCAAGGAGGAAATGGGGACTTACACAGATGAAGTGACCTGCTCAAGATCACATGGTAAGCGTCAAGCTGGAATTTAAACTGCTGGCCGTGATTCCAAAGGCTTCTTCTGGGCCCCATAGTGCATAGGGAAAAGATCACGGTTGGAGTAGAGTGGGGGTTGAGTAGAGAGAGAGACAGTGTGCCAGACATTTGAAAGAGTGTCAGGGTCTGAAGCTGGAAAGGAAGATTTGCCAGGCAAAGGATGGCAGCTTCAGGATATATGCCGGAAGACTGTGGTGAGATAAACACCATTAGGACACAAGAGGGCGCCCCACACCCTAAATCCAGCCTGATATTGTTTGATGGTTTCCCTTTGCTTTTTTTCTAATTAAAGCCTGGCATTTTAGGGAAGAAGAAAATTAAGGCCCTAAGAGGCCAAGTGCCCTGCCCAATGTTATATAGAAATAATCGACAGAGCCTGGACCAGCTCCCATTTCGCTGCTTCACCATCCACCAAGCTTTTTTCTGTGCACAGTTGTCTGCAAGACCCCCTCTGTGCTGGGCCAACACTAGGCATCTAAGGATGCACAGGTGAATCAAACTGGTCCCTGTCCCCAGGACCTGATCTCCAATTTTTCCGGAGCGAATTTACTTTTAGTAAATTAGTAATGCTTCCTATTAGTAAAATATTCTTTAACCCATACTTCCAACATATGTGTATCTATTTACCTATAAATGCTATACATATATGTAGTACATATGTAATTACATAAAAAACTAACTTTTATTGAGCACTTAAAATGCACTACTACTAGGTCCTGCTCTCAGTGCTCTATGCATATTTATTCACTTAACCCTCACAAAACCCTCTGAGCAAGAGTCTAATACTATCCCATATCACAAAAAGGAAACTAAAGGTACAGAGGTTAGGTAACATAAAACCGTATGGTTAAAAAGCAGGCAGTCTAGCTTCAGAATAAAATGAGACTGAACAATAGAAATATAAGTTTTAACATTTTTCCTAAACCCCCGGAGTCATCTTGTGCGCACCTCTTTGAAGGCCAGTGCTTGAGGGGCCCCCAGACCTGTGTGGACCAATACAATGTGATCAGTACTTTGAGAAAGGGAAGTGAAGGAGGCTATGGAACCCAGAGGCAGCAGCTTATCTAGCCTGGGAGGTCAGGGAGGGCTTCTGGAGAAAGTGATAGCTAAGCTAAATCTTAAAAGATATGTAGTAGTTCCCCTGGAGGAAAGAAATTGGGGGAAAGTGTTTCTGGGTGAAGGAGCAGTGTGTGCAAAGGCCCAGGGTCAAGAGTGTATGGTGTTCCAGGAGCTCCAAGTAGTTTAGGAGAGCTAGACACAGAGTGCCCAGGGGGTGGATTTCTCCTCCCAGTGTTGTTATGAGGCTCAAATAAGACCATAGGTATGGCCACGCCTTTGTGTGTTTGCTGAGGGAACAAGCAATCGGTCTGCTGCCTCCTGGGCAGCATCCCAGCTTTTTGGTCCTCAGCTGCCAATTCCTCTATAACCCAGATGGCAAAAGGGGCCTCTCTGCCCCCTTGAAGATCTGATTGAATTGGCCTGGACCCCATTCCACAGTTGTCACAGCCCTCTCTCCTTCCCCATGCCCTCTATGAATTTCCAACTTTATTTCCTCGGAGCTACAGCTTCTGTGACCTCAACCACTATGCCTCCTGCCTCATGTGGATTTCCATCTAAAACAAAAAGTCCAATTAAGCCAAGCGTTTCATGGATTTAGTAAATTTACTAAGGATTTGGAGATCTTGAGATCACATCACATACCACACAGCCACCTGCCATCTCCCAATTTTCTCATTCAGAGGCTCATCCAGAGCTTTCCCAAAGCCTGTGTTCCCAAAATCACCAGCTGATCCTCCCAACACATGCAGCACCCCCACCTCCCACCAGAATCTGGGTTCAGTCTCATGTGCCCACATTTACCCACTATCTCCCTGCCAGGCTGGTTTGCTTTTCCTATCCCCAACTCCAACATGCATGCACCCACTCCAGCTAAACCCAGGCTGCCCTAACCTGCTCCCCAGCCAAGCCCAGAAGCCATCCTTTCTTTCATCTTCCCTGGGTCACAAGGAAAAGTCCCCTCTGCAGAGTAGCCAGGCCAGTCCACAGTAGCCAGGGAGGTGGTGGTGGGAGACAGGCTCCAGGAAGACCAGCAGCAACACTGGGGGATGGGGGAGCAGCCAGCCAGAGGAAGGTGGCCAGATTAGCAGAAGGTTCAGGCAGAGTGACCCCAAAAGAGATCCAACCCCCAAAGTTTTGGGCCACTGGAGAAAGGAGAAAAGTGGGATTCTTGGGGAGGCCCCCAGCTTCTGGCCAAGCACAGCTGGTGTGATACTATGTGCTTGTATGTTTTGGGGGAACCACTCAAGCCAGGGCCCCACCCAGGCACTGGCACACTGGCAAGCCAAGGAAGAACCCAGAATATACACATACTGGGTTATCTGGGGACTGTGCTCCTGGAGGCTGCCATGAAGCATGAGGCCTGTCTCCCAATCTAGCACCAAGACCTGGAGACTGCCCGGGCTCTGGAAGCAGCAGCAGGCAGTGTCTCCAGCCCCGCTGTGACCAGATACAGCACCTCAAGGCTGGGCAGCTCACTGACAGCTCCTCAAGCCACCCTGGGCAGGGCCAGGCTCAGGACCACAGTGCCCACAGCTTCAGCTCCCGTAGGCTGGGCAGCCCCGAGATGCAGTGGGCCCTAGGCTACGTCTGCCTGCCCATACCGCAGCTACTGGGTCCTGGAGAGCTGCCAGAGGAAGAAACTAGAGGCACCCTGGGAGCATAGAGCCTCCAAGTATTGCCAAGCAGGGAGAGTTGGCAAAGGGTGAGGAAGATCTTGGAGACATTCCGCGTCTCCAGCTGCAGTGCCTCGCCTTTGGCAGTCAGGGTTTGCAAGACTGAAAAGGCGAGAGAAGTCAGCTTCCAAAACTCCCTATCTGAGACTGCAGAAAGCTCCAAGCTCGTCAGCAGGGACAACTCTACCCGGGAAGAACCAGAGGGGAACTGCAGTCTCAAGGTATGCAGATTCTCTGAGCCATAGAAGTTCAAGGCCAGGTTGAGCACCATGTGAGTACCCAGCAGGTTTAGGGTGATCAGTGTGAGCAG